ACAGACATGCCACCCTGGTGACAGACGTGCCAGCCTTACAGAGGGATGAGGCAGCCTGGTCACAGACAGAGGGACATCCCACCCTGGTGACAGACACACAGAAGGGCATGTCTCTCTATCCATGACTAGGGTAACATGCCAGTATGGTCACAGACATACAGAGGGATGTGCCAGCCTGGTCACAGGTACACAGAGGGATGTGCCAACCTCGCCATGGACATGACACTGTGGTGACAGACGTGCCAGTCTGTGTGTGTCTCTGGCAAAGACACACAGAGAGACATCCCAGCCTGGCCACAGATGTGCCAGCCTGGCACAGACACACAGAGAGAGATGTCCCTGCCTGGTCACGGACACACATAGGGACATGCCAGCCTGGTCATGGACACAGAGAGATGATCTGGTGACAGATGTGCTAGCCTGATCAGGGACAGAGGACATGCCCCCTTGGTCACAAACTCCCTACCCGGGCACAGGCAGCCAGAGGGATATGCCAGCCTGGCCAGGGACATGTCAACCCTGGGACAATCTGCAAGGGGCACAGGGGGTGGGGGAGCTGCTGGGGGGCTGCAGGGGTGACAACAGCAGGGTGTGTTCGTGGCTGTTTTGGGATACAGCAGCAGGAGTGCACATCAGAGTGTGCAGGACAGAACAGGGGTACCAGAGGGGATTTGTGTGAGGGTGTGGGAGTGGCTGAGGGGTGCAGAAGGGGAGCTATAGAGGATTTTCTATAGGGGAGTGCTGAATGGGTGCAGGGGATGTGGTGGGAGGGGTGCAGCAGGGGGCTGCAAGGCAGGAGATCTCTTTGGGAGGGGGTTGACGGGGTGCCGGGGGAGCTGCAGGGGATTTCCTGTAGGGATTTGCAGTACGGGGGTGCTGCAGGGTGCAGGGTTGCTGCAGGACACTCTGCCACTCTGCAGGGGATGCCGGGGGGTGCCCGGGGACTGTCGCAGTCCCCCTCCCGCCCCCAGCCGGAATATCAAGCAGCGGTGACGTCACGGCGCGGAGTTTCCCCACCCCATGACGTCACCACACGAGGACTCCCCCTCCGATGGCGCAGCACGAAACCTTCCCTGGGCTGGGGGCGGGGAGGAGGAGGAGAAGGGAGAGGAAAAGCAGCAGGGGGATAAGGAGAGGGAAAAGGAGGAGGAAACGTAGGACAAGGGGAAGGGGAGGAGGAGAAGGAGAAGAAGGGGAGAGAGAGAAGAGGAGGAGGAAGAGCAGGAGCAGGAGGAGGAAGGCTTTCAGCAAGCCAAGCGCTGCCGGAAGCTGCTCATCCGGGGGGACCGGATCCAGCTGCGGCCCCGCAGCAGCTCTGCTCTGGCTGACGGCCCAGAGAGGGGGAGCCGAGCATGGGGGACACAGGCTGAGCCCCCTGGGGCGCGGAGCCCGTACTGACCCGCTCCCACTTCAATCCCACTCCCACTCACTTGGCTCCAGCGCTCAGGACTCGGCTCTTCCTCAGCACCGCTGCCAGCATCCTCCTCCACCGACAGGGACACACCCCGGGGACAACCCTGGGCACCCCCAGCCCCACAGGAAACCCTGTCAGGTCCCGGGCACCGCTGCACCCCCTGACCCGGACCCTTTCTCCTTCTCCTTCTCGGGGCTCCAACAGCTGGAGCTGCCGGGAGGGCTCAAGTGAAAGAGGAAACTGGGAGGGAGGGGGGCGGGTGACATCAGCCACACGCGCCCTGTCACCCGGCAGGAGGGGACAGCGAGGGACAGGCAGCAGAGCCCTCTGCCAGGCCTGGCCTCAGCCGGAACACCCCCATGGGTGCCAGGAACCACAGCCTGTGAGTGACACCGCGACGGCTGCACGCATGTCCCTGTCATGGCTGGAACGGGAGGGAGCACTGTCCCACTCTCCCTGATACCATCCCGGTGTCCCTAAGGCCATTCATTCCACTGTCCATGACACCATCCATCCCGATGTCCCTGATGACATCCCAGTGCCCCCAGCGTCCCCGCTGTCCCTCGTGGCTCCCACCTGAAGCAGTCGGCGTGCCAGTCAGCTTTCAGTGCCTGCAGGTACTGCCCATCGTAGATGCCCTGCCCGCAGCTCGCACACACCGGCAGGTCGGTCCCTGCAGGCAGGGGAACACGAGGGGACAGAGCTGTCACCCCAGCAGCCAGCCCCAGCCACCCACAGCAGCAGCCGAGATGAAATCCTTTTGCCCGGGGTGGTGAATTCCATCCCCCACCCATTGATCCCTCAACGGGTCAAGGTCGTGACACCCATGGCCCCAGGGCTGGCGACAGGGCAGGGGTGGGATGGGATGGGGGCAGAGGGGGCAGGATGGGGGCACACAGTGTAGGGAGGGTGAAGAGGGGCAGGATGGGTGCGCCAAGGGATCCAGGGAGGATGGCGGGGTGTGGGATGGGTGGTGGGTGCATGGGGGGACAGCAGGATGAGTGCTGGGGGTCCTGGGGACACAGGAGGTGCAGGGTGGGGGATGACTGGGGGACACACAGAGGGGTGCGGAGTGGGTGCTGGGGCATGCACAGTGCAGTGGGGGGGCACAGAGGGGTGCAGAGTGGGTGACGGAGGATGCAGAAGGACACACAGGGATGCTGGACGGGTGCTGGGTGATGAATGGGGAGGACAGAGAGGGATGCTGGAGGGGTGCTGGGGGATGCAGGAGAGCACAGAGAGGTGCAGAGGGTTCTGGGGGATGCACAGTGCATGGGGGGACACAGAGGGGTGCAGGATGGAGGATGAATGGGGGACACAGAGGAGTGCAGGGTGACTGCAGAGGTCCTGGGGGTGCACGTTCTTGGGGTGTGTGGGGAGGTACAAGGGGCCCAGTGAGTGAAGAGGGGAAGGAAGGCACAGCAGAAGAGATGCAGGGGGATTGGAGAGTGCGGAGGGATGCAGGCTGGAGGGGATGGGGGGTGCAGGAGGGGCACATGGAGTGTGCAGGGGAAAGATGGGGAGGTGTGGGGGTGCAGGGGGGATGTGGAGGTGCAGGAGGGGATGCAGGCTGGACAGGGGTGCAGCGGGAGATATGGGGTGCTGGGAGGGTGCAGGGGTGCAGGCCGGGTGCACAGTTCTCGACAAGGAGGATGGGAGAGATTTGGGGGTGCAGGGGGAAATGCAGCTGGGTGGCAGTACAAGGAAGGAGGGGGGATGGAGGCTGAACTGGGGGAACAGGGAAGATCTGGGGGCGCAAAGGGGAGGCAGGGTGAACAGGGGCTGCGCGGGGACATTTGGGGATGTGAGGAGGATGCAGGCTGGATGGGGGTACAGGGGATGCAGGCCAGGGAAGTGATGTAGGGGGGGATGACGGGGGACATTTAGAGGTGCAGCGGAGGATGCAGTGGCTGCTGTGGGCTGGATGAGTGCGAGGTGCAGGGGGTGATTTGTGGGTGCAAGAGGGATGCAGGGTGGCTGGGGAGCACAGGGGACGCGTGGGGGGCACGGGGGATGTAAGGTGCGGGACGGGCATTTCAGAGGGGGATGTAGGGGTGGAGGGTGATGCAGGGGGGCTGTGGGGAAGGTGCAGGCTGGATGGGGGGGGCACGGGACGCCGGGGCACAAGGGGGACGCAGACCAGAGAGGGATGCAGTGGGGGATGCAGGGAGGGATGCGGGCTGGGTGAGAGGGTGCAGGGGGGCATGCTGGGGGTGCAAGGGTGCGGGATGGGGATGCCGAGGAGGATGCAGGGGCGCGGGGACAGGGGAGGATGCGGGGGGCTGCAGGCCGGCGGCAGGGTCTGCAGGAGCCGGGCTGGGGGATCCCGGGGCCCGAGCGGCGGCGGAAGCGCTGAGTCAGCCGGGGGGGCTCGGGGGGTCACGCACCTTCGTCCTCTCCCATAGGCTCGTCCCTCCAGGTGCAGCACAGCAGCATCAACCTCATGCAGGCGCGCTGCCGGCGCCGCGCCGCGCCGGGCCTGAGGCGGAGGCGGTGGCGGTCCCCGCGCGGG